AATAATATATAAGCTGTAATTTTATGCTTTTTTTCCTGTTTTTGTTCATTTTGGGTTTTTTACTGTTTTTGGAATATTTCGTTTTCAAGTAAATTGCTTTTTGGTTTTTTCTTGTTTTTACACTATTTTTGGTTTTACGTTTTTTCTTCAATTGTTTTTAGTCTATGGGCCTCGGAATAAGCGGGCTCATGACTTCCCACCTAACCCTCCGACCCCCGGAACTTTTTGGTCTTAACTGGGTTAAAAAGCTAATTTGTACCAGGGGGAGAGTCCGCACATTCCGCCTAGCACATTACAAGACATCAAGGCCTCTAACTCGGGCATAGGCCCGGAGCTTAGGGTTCGTCGCTGAAACTTTTGCTGATCGTGACGATCTATTGTGTTTATTAGGCCCACCCAGGAACGCCATAAAAACGTCTTTGTAACATTCGCCCATACAACACACAGTGACGGAGCGTAGAAAAAGTACCTATTGTCGACTGGCTGACGTCAGTTACCTTAATTGTACTAGTTGTTAACCGTCTATACCTAGCCTTTTTTTCTGGTCTGCTGAGGGCTAAGTATAAAACTACCATTTAACGACATCAGTCAAACGATTTTTGATCAGTTTTCCTTTACATGCGAAAATAAACACATAGCTGGGTCTCGGATCCCCAGACTACGTGATTACTTTTGAAGACACGGCTAGAAAACGATAATTCACTATGTTTTTTTTTAGAGTTATATACTAAATCTATTGGAGAAGGATTGACTCTTTCCTCGACTCTTACTACTCATGATCTGAAACACTAAACAAAATTGGATTTAATTAAATCGTTCAGGGCATTACAGTTTCTAAAATAGGTATCTAAAGTCTCCAACAGTTTTTAGGCACCGGGCTTCCAATTCCGTGTTCTCTCGAAGATATTGTCGTTATCTCCCCGGCTTCGTGGCACGGGAGTGTACGGATTGGCTCCGGATACCCACTGGACCTTCCTTTTGTCTAATCTTTTCCAGTTAAGTGCCTTATCGTGTCGTGTTATCACAATGAGAGGCCTCCTTTTTCTCTTGTTATCCTTCAACTGATATTCGTCTCTCAAATCCCATTGTCTTTTTTTTTGGTGGTTATTGGACAAAATAGCAGTTTTTACAATTGTCAGGAAGATCCTGTCTCAAATCGAAACTTTGTAAATTTTTATTCCGGAATATTCCGAGCATCCCTTTCATTACGAAATCACTGAAAACGCCGTTAATGTCCTTTTTCTTTTGCATCGGCGGTTTTGATTGGGACAATCCGGGGGACTGGCGCAATTTTAAAAAATCCAATTTACAAAAACGCAGATAAAAGCCAAGCATAATTGCTGTTTAGCTATTGAATGGCAGTTTTACATGGCCGTTATTTCTTGAAAAATTGATAAAAGTTTAACAGCGTAGTTTCTCTATAATTAACCACTGCATTTTGGTGTTTCAAAAATCTACAGGTTCAATGAGACGACAACAAGGACCAATAAAGACATCAATCTTGAATAACCGATTCTTTTTAAGCTACGAGATTCGGCAGGTTTCGAGATTTTCCAAAAACTTTTAGAAAATTTAATTTTTGAAGATTTAAAAACTGCAACCCTGTAGTTGGTGGCTCTTAGAATACTCCAAATCTCACTTCTCAAATCATTATAGTTTTCGAGAGATGAAGTTTTTTCTATGAGTTTTTCAAAAATTTTTTAAAAACTTAGATTTTAAACATTTAAAAACTTCGAAGATTCCAACCCTGTAGTTGGAAACGGTTAGAAAAGTTATAGGAGTTGCAAATCTTGCTTTTGAAAATAATTTCTGAAAGCCTTGTAGTTTTTGAGATTTGACGTTTCTTAAAAGTTTTTTCAAAGAAGTTTGATATAAAAGTTTCACAAAATTTGAAATGACCATCTCTATAGTGAGGCTTTCTCAGGGCTTTCCCAGGTGTTTTTATGCTTCAAGTATGACTGCTCAAATTTTTGTATTTTTCGAGGTTTGACGTTTTTTCAATTTTTTAAAAAAAAGTTTTTAGAAAATTTGATTTTAATTTTTTTTTCATCACAATTTAGAGTTCCCATTTCTGTAGTGGGAGCTGTCAGAGTTTTCTCGTGTTCTCAGGGTTTGCGAATCGTGCCTCCAAAAATAACTGCTCAAATGTGGTAAGTTTTCGAGATATGACGATTAGCGTCTGTTTATGTCACATATAACGTTAAGAAGAATAGGCCAAGGGTAATAAGAAATGGCTCAAGGGTCAGGGACACTCTTTGCTTTTATACCTCATTAAGTCGGAGCCAATTGGGTTCGCATAGGCAATGAGACTACAAAATCGTGTTACAGCTACCAAAATACCCCCACTCTAGAAATAAGAACGTCCCCATGGATAGGTCGCTGAATACCTAAACCACGGAACGCCCTTAAAAACTGGGTTGGTAGCTCTAGTATACCATTAGATTTCAATAGACAGTGGACCTCTGATTCATTTCAGATGGATCAACCTAAAGCTCGCCTCTTATCAACATTAACATACGAAATGCACTCGAAAAATTAAATGATGTACTCACATAGTGACGCGACACTAGTAATAGGTGAATAATATGAGTAAAGCAACTCTAGAAGTTTTTTGTGATAAGTAGGTTTAATTCAAGAAGTTTAGTTTTCTGAACCATTGGGCAGCTTCACTTGTCTGCCTGCCCAATGAAGATTTCATTTCGCCCTGCAATGGTGTTCTCGTAGGACTTGGCGATGCTCTCTATCAGGAACAAGACAGCTCTACTCAAGTTTTGATTTCAGTACAATTGCGAACAGATTTTTTTTACTCTGCTCTGATTTTTATCGATTTTCCCGCAATTCTGATTTGAGTCTTCTGATAAAAATAACTTCTGATTTTCAGTTGTCGCAAGAAGTTTGAGTATGACATGGTCGGTTCGACTTTTTCGAAAATTACTTTTTCCTATAAATCAAAATCAAACTGCCAAATCAAGGTCAAACTTCCAAATAGGACCGACTGGAACAGTTTTTTTATTGATTTTTTCTTAAAATTGTCAGAAAACTGAAATTAAAAATCTCTTTTTGACTTTTGATATTCTCTATCTTGTAGTTGGGGGCTGTCAGAGTACTCTCAGGGGTCGCGGCTCTTGCCTCCATAAAGGGCTGCTCAATTCTATTTAGTTTTTGAGATATGACGTTTGGTTATTTTCAAAAATTTCAGAATTTTTTTAAATTTGAAATTCCTTACCCTTGAATTTGAGATTCTCAATTTGAAATTCTAAGTCTTTTAGTTATATTTAATATTTATCAATTGCAATACTGGAGCTAATTCCAGAGTTGTCAATACGTCTTGAGCTTCTGCTTTTTTTTTACTTGAGCTTAGTTTGTCAGATTATGCTCGGATGAGAAACTTTTTAGATTCATCAATCTGAATTGGATTGATTGCATGCTGTCACAAAAAAAAGGTTCGAATTCTGTTTCTAGCGCCATTGGCTTTTCAGCGGTTACATTCCTAAATACGTTGTCCAAAGCAAACCACAAATTGGCTCCGACAGATTGAGGAGTAAAACAAGAGATAATGTCTCTGGCCCTTTCACTCTTATGTATGTATGTAACATGAATTTAACCTCCCTAGGCAAGGGATCTCTCCCCTTGTATATTCAAGGTTTTACTGCTCATGTTCGCCATGTGTTTGAGCTTAGTTCAGTATAGTTGATTCAAAATAACGCAGCAGTTGATGTAGTTTTCGTTTCTTCACTTATAACTTGACTGAACGGTGTTACATAGTCAATCACAAATGACTACTAAAACTGATTTTAGAGGTCAACTGTGAATAGATATTTTTATAACATGATTGCTGAAAATTGCAATTTGTGTGAAATTTTGTAAGTAAAATTCGTAAATTGAATGTTTATCGTCTTTTTGATTAATGTTTTGTGAAAATCCAAGGTGCGCTTGTTATATTTTGAAATTTAATTTAATATAAATTATTGTTTTCAGAAATTTCGCGAAGTATTTTGAGTCAAATTTTCAAATTGAAAATTGTAATTACTATTTATAACAAAAACTATGCTCGCTTTATAACATTTTTACAACATTGATTGGGTTTACTTAATGTCATTACTTAATTTTGGAGATTCTTCAAACTTTCCATCTTAAAATGATGAGGGGGTAGGTTTTACGACTCATTGTATTATAAAATTTGTTTAAAAATATACTGCGACGTCTATTCTGAATGGCGAAATCATAATTTTAAAACATTTAGAGAGCTCTAGGTTTCTCATTCTAAAGGGACCTGGTTATTTTCAATGAAGCACATCGATCATAAACTGGAGAAAAAAGTAACTCAACAACTAGAGAAAACGGAAACACAAAAATGAGAGAACGTTTTTGAGAAGACAAAATAATTTGGTTACTTCTATGTTAGTTTTTGCCCCTTGATAGTGATATACCTAGTTTTTATCTGACAAAATCCAAAACATTTGAGAAAATTAATAAACAAATAAAATATGCTCATTTTTCAAAGCTTTTATTGAAAGCCTTATAGCAGTATTTGCAAATTTTCTTAAGCGAGCAAGAAAATGTGATGTGAAGTTGCATCTCTCAAAAAATGAAATGAAAATTTTCAAAGTATTTTCTGTTTTTTTTTTCCGGATCAAAATGTACGAATTTTGTTCCTTGGATGTGAGGGGCTCTGTTTGTCAGATTTTTTTGTGTTTCAATTCGTGACACAAAACTGTGTTTCTAATATCTTGTTTTCACTCAAGGATTGAAACGATTTTATGATCACAAGGTTCATAGGGATTTTTTCAGTTTTGAAAATTGTTTGGTTGCGTTACTTTCTTTCTTCAGTACCTCGAAAACATTTGAAAGTTACTTTTATCAAAGATTCTTTCAATTTAAACGAGAAAATTGCAGTTTTCATTGTGAAAATTTTCTTGAACAATGTTGTTTCTTCCAATTTCTCACACTTAGAAAAACTAATGACAAATGGTGGAAATTGGCAGTTTCAGACCCGGATTTAACTAGTAAGTGCTTCAAATCAAAAATCAGAGATTTTCAGAAAGGGTAGTTTAAATCATTTGCTGTCGTTCAATGTTAAAATTTTGTTAAGTTAGGAGTGTAAAATTTATCCTCGAATATTAGCATGTTAGAGAAGAAAACCTGAATTTGCGTTTAATTTTGTGCATTACTGTATATACAAAAAAAATTCGTTGACCATAACATACTTTTTCAATTAATTTCTCAAAGTAATTTTAATTAAAAGTCTGTTGTTTAATCGCTGTCAGCGTCGTTAGAGTCTTTCGATTCTTTCCCTGAATGAAGTCGGAATTTGACTTTCATTGGTTGCCAAAGAGAATGTCTGCGCACGAGTTCTTCCTTCTCTTTCGGAGGAACGTCACTACTTTCGGAATATTCGCCAGCTGAATTCTTTCGAATAAGGCTTGATGATGCGACTGCGATCGAAGCTCTCCCACATGTTGCGAGTTTATTCGTGGAGCTTACCTTCAAGCGGTTTTTCTTTTCTGAAACAAAACTCCCAATTTTGTAGCTTTAGAAATTTATTGCCCGATCAAGTATATTAATTAATCTGTATTTAACTGTAGTAAAGTTCCCGTGGATTGAAAATGCAGATTTCAGATAGATGTTATTTTCTTGCCATTTCCTTGGATAACAGGACTGTTTTGTCCTTTTTTCACCATGATTCATTTTTAGCTTGCCATTTCCTTGGATAACAGGACTGTTTTGTCCTTTTTTCACCATGATTCATTTTTAGGTACTACTATGATAGAGTGGTCCCACGAAAAAGCAACTATAATAGAGAGGTCACGCATGCATTTTGCATGTTAAAATTTTGAAAACTAATTTGTGAATAAACTATTTGTAACTATTCGTATCTGGCTTATATCAAGAAATATGCTCGCTTCAACTTATTTTATATTTTAACAACAATAATTCGTTGACTTACTTGTCATCAAAATTCAATGTTGGCAGTTTTTTTGATTTTTCCACCTTAAAATGGTTAGAAGGAAGATTTTACGAAGCAACGAAACATAAAATGTGTTTGAAAAAAAAACAGACATCTTTATGAATGGCAAAATCATAATTAATTTTTTAAACGTCTTTTGAGTTTTTGGTGTCCTTTTCTCACGGGACTTGGTTATTTGCAAGTGACCCCTCCATCATAGTAGTAGCCACTTTTGCACTTGCGAGCGTTAGTGTTTTAGTACGGACCTTTTTTTTCTAACCTTATTCGCAAATAAAATGTTTATTATGAGTGTTCACTTATTTGGTGGCATTTTTGCTACAATCACGATCTGTAGCTTTGGAAATTTAGCATCGTTTTTCTGTAGCATCTATTCTCTGCTTCATTTGCTACTGTTTGAGATTTATAAAGCGCCCTTGGCGGAGTGGTTAGCGCATGAGACTCATAATTTCTAGGTCGCAGATCGAATGCGAGACGTAGCCGAATCTATATCAATGCTAGGTTTAAATGCGTGTGACACGTATCTTGCCATCTTTAAGCGTTTTTTGCAACAGTTAAGGGCATAACGTATCTATGCGTGGTTAAGCTATATCGTATATTGTAATGCTTGAGAATTCTTTTTTTAATCGATTTTCCTGTTTAAATCTAGTGTTTGTTCCACTGAGTTAAAAGATAGCAACACAAAAATTGGGTGCTGTCAGAGTTCCCAAAGGGTTTCGAATTTCGTCTCCATTTATGAATGCCCAAATATTTTTGGTGTACGAGATGAGACGATTTTTCTGATTTTTTTTTGAAAAAGTTTTTGGAAAATTATTTACAAAATATTTTAAAAAACTTGGAATTGCCAACCTTGTAGCTGGGTAGTGTCAGAGTGCTCTCAAGGATTGCGAATCTTGGCTTCAAATATGATAGCTCAAATTCTTGTAGTTTTCGATATATGACGTTTTTTGTGATTTTTCAAAGGTTTTACAGAAAATGTAATTTTTTTTCTTCAAATTTTGAAATTCCTAACACTATTTGGGGGCTGTCATAATACTATCAACAGTTTGCGCAGTTGCGAATCTCACTTCCATTTCTGACTGTTCAATTTTTCATGGGTTACGAGATATGACGTTTTTTGTGAGTTGAAAAAAAATTCAGAAAACCCAAATTCAATTTTTTTTGAAGTTTTCGAAATTCCAAACCCTCAAGTTGGAAGCTGTCAGAAATATCGTGGGGGTTGCAAATATTGCCTCCAGATATGACTTCTCAAATCTTTGTAATTTTCGAGATGTGACTTATAGTTTTTCCCAAAAATTTTCAAAAAACTTAAATTTAAAATTTTGTTTCAAATTTTGAAATTTCTTTCCTTGTAATGGGGCTCCCAAAATATTCTCTCTCAGGGGTTGCAAATCTTGTATTCAAATATGACTGCTCAATTTTTGTAGTTTTCGAGATAGGACATTTTTGCAATTTTTAAAAATTTTCAGAAAACTTAAATTTCATGTTTTTGTTTCAAATTGTGAAATTCCAACCCTTTAAATAGGGGCTGGAAGATCACTCGAGGGTGTTGCGAATCTCATCTCTTAATATGGCCGCTCAGGTTTTTTTTAAAAAATTTCGAGACGTGACTTTTTTATGGGTTTTCAATTTTTTTTTCGAAGTTAAGTTTAAAAATTTGAATTTCTTAACCCTGTAGTTGTGTAATGTGAGAATACTCTCAGGAAATGCAAATTTTATCTCCTAGTGTGATTGCTCAAATGCTTTTAATTTCCAAGATGTGACATTTTTTCTGTCATTTAAAATTTTTTCAAATAACTTCAGAAATTTAATGGTTTTTTTAAAATTTGAATTAAAACAGCTCATAGAAAAAATTTTAGCAAATTTTGAAATTACGAGCCCTGTTATCGGGTGCTGTTAGAGTACACTCAAAGGTTGCATCACTTTTTTCAATGTATGCAGCTTTTTTATGAGTCCTTAAAATTCGAAGCACCAGTGGTGTGTTACACGCTTGTTTTTACTAATTCGAGACTTATTTCTACTCTTTTTATTTCAATTTACGGGCTGATGTTTGTCGAGTTCTCGCTAGTGTTTGCGAAGCACAGCTTCCCCTCTGTCATTAACCTTGTGATCAGCAAGGTTATTGCAATCGTGTACAAGACTCCCCCCAAAATAATGTTGTTTAAAGAATGGTCAATTTCGTAGAATGAAAAATTTCTTTTCTGAAATGCTGAATTTCTTGTAATTTAAAAAAAACTACCATCATTTAGATGGCAATTAGTTGAAGATCGTTCCTAGTTCTAATAAGTTTCTCGCAAATGTCTTGGAAATCATTGATTGTTTTCTCGGCTTCATGGTTTTCGTCCTGGCTTAAGTAGTTTTTTAAAGTTCCATTTATATTATCTGGTACGGTTTTTTTTATCGCGATAATTAAAGTTGAGTAATTTGTTAAGTTACTAAGTCTGACTTTGAAAATATTTTTTCGGTGTTTTGAACAGATTTGGCTATGGGTTATTTGTATACCCAACTTTAATTATCTTATTTTGAGTGCAAAATATAATCTTATGTGATTATGTGTCTAAATACGGATAGGTGTTAAAACCTTAAAGTTTTTATGACAAGTTTGGTTTTCGGTTCGACATGGGTCTACCCAAAAATTGTCGCCTTGGTTGTCGCTCGGTTAATTTTTCCCAAAGCTTTTTAGGCTGTTTATGGACATCGTACGATACAAACAAAAAGTTGAAGGTCGAGTTTTTAGAAAGTTTTCGATGCACTATCCTTTAACGCGATATTTTGTTTGTATTGTAAGTGTTGCGATGCAAATTCACCTGTGTTAAATGTTTTTAGGTGAAGTTTTTTGGTTGTCGACGTCATTTCAGCATTTCAAGTCTTATTTTGCCAATGTTACTGGTATTTCGTGGAAGATTTTCTGAGCATCATCTGCTGGTCGAAAACATTCACTTGCTCCTAAAGAGAAAATATCAAATTACCTACCTATATGTTTGAGAACTGCTAGCTTCAGTTCATTTTCATCCTCCTCTGCTCCATAAACTTTGTATCTGTTGAGTTCAATGTCTTCCTTTTTTACAGCTACAGTTGCATCTGAATGCGAGTTCGGTCTCTGCTTTTCTTCTTCAGTCTGCTTTTGCGAAGTTTGCTTCTTTTCTTCCATTTCATGAATTCGAGAAGCTAAAACATTTCTAGAATTTCTGGACTAATCGATTCAAATAGATTTTTTTTGGGAAAAATTGTTGTTAAATTTAGTAATTGCTGAAACTGAAAGTTCACGTTTTCAGGGAGCTAATGATCTTGCTGTAATCCAATTGATTGTATTTAAAATTCACGCTAATTGTTCTGACCGTTCCGTAATTGGTGTCTACTTGATTTTTGGTGCTTCAATGCAAACTCGTTACGTTTTGGAGAGTGTTATCATTTTAACGCTTGTTCATTCGTTATTTTAAGATAATTTAAAAAATTCTTTAAATTTTGAGAGCATTTGTTCGAATGTTTCCGTTTTTCGGACAATCTTTGCAGCAGAAGAAATTGACTCTTTATTTATTTTGATATTTAAAAAACAATATTTTATATTTCAACATATTAAATCAACTAATGGGTTTAGAAACATGTGATAATCAGCGAGTCCAGACTTTCATTATTTCAAATAAAGCACCAAGAAAAATGTTTAAATAATCGTTTTGTTCTAATAACGTACCAAAGGTTGGGGTTAAATACTTCTTAATTGTTCAAAGCGTAGACATAAAAACAGTATACGAAAACACCCTTAAAAGATTTTTGTAAAGTGTATCACATTTTCCTCTGTTTAATACGGTGACACATTTTTTTATACCGCATTTTGTATGTGAATTTTTGCATTCGCTATGTCTGCTTAGTCGCCTATTGCTGGCCGCTGATTTGTTTACTCTTTTAGTTTCTGCCAGTCATTTTTAGGAAAATGTCAAATACAAGTTGGCATAAAAAACGTAAAAATAAGTTTTTTTGTAAGGTTTTTCGCGGATTTGGTTCAAGAACATTCGAAACACTCACCGTGCTTCTGCAATAATGACAGTGAAGGGAACACTGTATTGTTGTTTTTGTTGCACCGAGTTGCTGTTGCTACTCCGGTTGGACTTAGAAATTGATGTTCGTTGCTTTTTGTTAGGAGCTATCCTTAAGAAAGTTTCGAGTTTTTTCAAGATTGGTTTTATGGCAATTGAAATTATTCAATAGATTGTTGCCATTTTGTTTCAAAAACCGCACTTTCATTAATTTATCGTGTGGCAAGTGGATTGAAAATTTTCGTTGCAAATATTAAAAAAACTAATTGATTAAGTTTAGGAATGAGAGGGAAAAGAAGATCCAATAAAAAGCTCATAGGAATCGATAATTAAATGCTTTCCTTCGGCGCCAAGGAATTTAGAAGGAGAATCGAGAATTGTCCCCAGCTTTTTTTTGAGATATTCAGCAAGCTTGCACCATATTTTCGGCGTTAATTGTGTGCTTGCTTACGGGTGTTTCCTATTAAATTTGTGGGAAATTTTAACCCTTTAACTGCTGAATGCAAGTCTCGTAAATCCCCAATAGGTCACCGAAAATCGGTCTTTTAAAAAAGATATTCCCCCACTTTTTGTGATAGTAACAACAGAATTTGTCTACAATAGCGATATTTTTACCTGATGTAGTTTTGCACCAGCGGTAAATTGGTAACAGAAAAAATGAGAAGAGGAGACAAAAAATTTAGTGCCCAGTGGACAAACGGTAAAATTTAAACAGTGTATTGGTGTTAAGAGAAAGTTAATTTTATGCAAGAACTATAAAAACAGACAGAATTGATTAGTGGCTTTTTCTTCTGCAGCGTATAATGAATGGATCCATCCGAGTCTCAGAAATAAATTGTTATTTTTTCAAATATAATGGGATACTTCAAGATAATGAAGACTTGCTGAATAAAAGCTTCAACGATTGGCCAATTTTTTATCGAATGCTGTGAAAAAATGAATCGATTCAAAAGATAAAGGATTTTCGGCTAATGGGTGCTTCTGCTCTATGATTCGTCTGCTTGTTGTAATTAATCCCAAAATTCTCGTTCATTTATTGCAGTAACCTAAGTTAGTCGCCTATGGAGATTATTTCTGCCTTTTTTATTAACCCAGATTTTTTATTGCAAGCCATAATCTGAATTACTATGCCAACCTTTCTACTACTTTCGTGCATGCGTCTACAGTATAAACCCCACTGTGGAGGTTAAATTTAATTTAACTTTAGGGTCCACTTCATAATGCTTCTCTGCTCCCACATTTTTTTTCCAAAAGGGAGAGATTTTTTAGGTTTTATAAATTAAAAATGCGTAAATATAGCTTGTCTTGCTTAATGGTGCAGATTATGTAATAGTGTACCAAAAGAGAGCAGATTAAAACTTGAGATACAAATTGGAAGCACGAATGACGGATTTTGTTACAAGAGGAAATTTAATAACTTCTACCTGAGAAGTTTTCAGAATTGAGATTGACAGGAAGGTAATTTGATCTGTCTTGTTAGTTTATTCCTCTGATCTCTATGATAACTATTATTTTCGGTGCTATGTAAATAAGACGACCGACAGGCCATTAAGACGACCAAAAATTAAGACACCAAATTGGCGTTATTACCGGTAAAATGAGCAGTTCCAATTTAAGCTGTTTAAATTTCACAGGAGTACCAAATGGAGAGTCGCGTATAGCGTCGTCTTAAAGTCCCATCAAAAACGGTTGCGTATTACCGGCTGTCGTCTTATTTGCCGGTCACCATTATTTACCCTGTCTTAGAACACCCAATGATTTCATGCGAATTAGATCTGTTGGCTTTAAAGTTATATTGCGAAATTATCGTTAGCAACCAAATATTCCGAAAAGCGTGAAAAGGCCTATTTTGTTGAGTCGGCTTTGACGAAGTAGTTTGGCTGCTGTTATGGGGAAAAGAATAAGCTGTCTAATAGTCTCATGGAATGGACTACCAAGTAATGCTTGTAGTTTGATGTGATTGTAGCTTGAGTAGCTATTTCGTAAGCGAACACGAGGAGTAAGGTAATTCTGTCGCACTATCCTCCCTAAAGTGCGCAACAGAAAGATTGGTTTTGAACTTATTTCTTGATGTAACTCGTTTGAAACGTTAGCTCTGATGGTACGCCCTAATGAAAATTCACTTGGGAAAATATCAGTTGTGCTTGGTTTTGATTTAAAAATGATGATATCTACTGGTATCGATGTCAGATAGTGATTCCAACTTCTAATCAACATATCCGTGAAAAGATTAAAGCTTTTGCACATTTTTCCCATTCATCACTCGGGGCTCTTTTTCCATTCATCACTCGAGACCAATAGCTTTGTGTTGGAGTGTCACTAATCAAGAGCTGTATCCTGCCATGACCTGGTAGGTTCCTGCCAGGTAAATTTATCCATCAACAGTTTCACGCGTCGAAGAATTGTTGTTGAAGGTTGGGAATCATTCAAAGACGATGATAGATATGGTGTGTTGAGATAAAAGTTTTCAACGATCTTGATTCAGAAATGGCATTTAGGACAACTATGTTACCAATTTATTTTGCGCTAGTGAAAGCAAACTTGTTTTAACGATCAAAATTTGACGTGAATCCAGCAGCATAGAATGGTCATTGGGAATTGTACAGTGATTCTTTTTAATCGAGTCATCTTGCAAAGCTCGGAAAAGTAATATAAGGAAATGCCAGGATTTTTTCACGGGGAGAAGAGGGATGCTAAGTATTTAATCAATTAAATTCGCTAAAATCTACTATGAACAAATTAATATGGTTAAAAAGAGTTTGGGTAGTGATAGCAGTAAAAAAAAGTTGAAGTTGTAGTCTAATTGAATTGGGAGGTCAGCCTCTCATGAAACTTTGTCTAAATAAGTCCGAAAAACGAACCTTGGGGCCAATTTTTCTCGAAATTTAAAGAAGTTATTCAATTTTCTATAGAATCCGATCACGACTAAAAGGGCTTTAACATAATATCACTCTTGCCCCGTTCGAGCTTTCCTCGAAGTAGTCAAAAGTGGCTGGATTTTTTGAAAAAAAAACAGACCCTAATCTATAGTGCCTTTCCATTCTTCTAGGGTAGTCGGAACAATTATGGTCAATAATGAAAAAGGGGTTCCGGTAATACGGGTTGAGGTCTTTTTGATTACTTCTGTTTTTTTTTGCATAAGCTAATATTATGAAAAATTTACAAAACCCCTGAAGTAACAAGATTAGCCGATTGCTCTGCAGGAAGAATGGAATGATTTTACCACAATAATTAGTCCGCAAAATTTTGAATCAAAATGAAATTTAAAGCGTTCATGGAGGAGTTTAAAACGTTTGTTTATGTCGTTTGACTTTTTGTTCCCTTCAATAAAAAAATGAAGTGAACGTTGTCACGCTGAAATATCTTTTTAAGCGCGGTTTTACTTGTGAGTTTTCTTATTCATTTCAAATCCATTTGCTAAATTACCCTCTCCAATAGAAAAGAGATTGGTCGAAAAAAAATGTATTTCATTTTCACTAGCGAACTTTTTGAACGTTTTCCTGCGTTCTAATATACCAATTTTTAATATCTTTACTCTAATTGGTTTATTTTTATCGTAAAAGATTTAGTTACCAGAAAGTATGTTTTATATTGGCAGAGTTCTAAGGTAATATGTTTGTCCTTTAAAACTCAAATTTTTTGCGATCTTGACATTTTTCAACTTTCTTGTGGCTATTTTCTTGTTTCGCATAAAGCTTCAACAAGTAAGTAATAATTTTTCAGTGTTTTTGGTAAGTTTTTCTACCGAATAAATTTTATTAGAGTTTTTAAGGACATTTAAGTTTTTAAGTTTAGTTTTTGTGTATTAATTGTTTTCTGGCACGATCATATTATTCTAAAGAAGATGATGAAGATTCTGAACCTGAAATAAGCCTCCCAGATGTTGTACCTACGCGCGGTGGAAAGCGATACCACAAAAGCAACATCACCTCAAGAAGGAGAAGAGGAAACGACTACGCAAGTAAATCGTTTCAAGGACCCTTTTTGGGAAGGGAGCGGCCCGGCAATAGCCGAACCGAGCACCGCCTAAAACAACCTGTAGGCTACAAAAGTCGCCTCAACGGCCGGGTGCTCAAGGTTGACGAACGACACCAGGCTAGGATTGTAAAATGGTGCCTGATGGACATACATCCGAACCCCGGGCCGAGGACAGTGGACATCAACAGGTGGGTTGAACAGAAGCTTCGGGAGATGCGAGCGCGGAATAGGAAAGAAAGACGCAGTGAAAAAAGAGGTTCCAAATGGACGCATATGCTAGCAAACCGGAGCAAAGAAGGGAAGGAGCACCTAACGGGGAAAGCGAGGAAGAAAGAGAAAGAACGGTGGAGAAGAAAAGTGAACCAGAAATTCTCAAAGAGAACCAACCTTGACTCTGAGGTAATCACGTGGAACCTGCAGAGGTGCAAAATCCAGGTGGATGGACGAGGCCGAATTCAGCATATCCTAGCAGCAGTACAGGAGAACAAATGGGATATTATCCTGCTGTCGGAAATATCCTCAAAAGAGGAGGGGGTATGGTGGTACGAAGAGGACTCAGTCCTAATCGATGGGAAAAGAGCCGGTATTATCGTTAGAAACCATTGGGCCCAAGAGTGGAAAAAGCAAGGGAGCCAAAAATGGTTGGCCGAACGAGTAGCCATGGTAACAGTGAACAGCGTTAAGCTGATCGCAGTCTACCAGCCAGTATCGCCGAATGATATAGAAATCGACGAATACCGGAAACAGCAAGAGACAGCGATACCGTGTAGGAAAAAGGACGAAATGTTGCTCATAGGAGGAGACTACAATGCTCAAATTGGCAGGCAAGATAATACGGGAAAAGAGAGGACTCTGGGAAAGTTCGGGTTACGAGCAAACTCGGAAGCAGGGGACGAAGTCGTCGAGTGGGCGGAAAACAATAACCTGTACATCGTGGACACCTATTTTAGAAAGAATAATAGAGGTACGTGGTGTCATCCAAGAACAGGTAATTGGTACGAGCTGGATTACTTCTTAGCTAAGAGACACAGAAATTTAATCATCAAAGATATGAAGGTGGTACGGGAAGACAGATGGTCCGATCATAGGCCCAAGATGATTAAAGTGAGCATCAGAGAAAAGAAGGAAAGATTCAACCGTACAAAACAAGAGAAAATAGACTGGCGGAAGCTACGCATCAAGAAACATCATGATGCGTATCAGGAACACATAAGCAAGGCCTCCCTTTCAAACAAACCCTCTTGGGCAGAATTAGCAGAAACCATGAAAAGGGCAGCCAAGGCTGCTTGTGGGTTAGAAGATACAAGAAGCAAAACCAGTCAATGGATGGTAGGCCATGAAGACCGAGCAAGGTAGTTCAAAAGCGGAATTCAAAGGGCAGTCAAAAAATGGCTAGATGCACAGCTACCGAAAGTCATGATGTTCGGGGAGGTAAATTCATTAAGAACGAAAGTGGCATACTCCTCACTGACGGGACTGATGTCCTCGAAAGATGGCGCGAGTATTTTGACTCGCTCTCTTCCAAACCAGCCATCGGTTCTATGATGGACTCTCTTCCCATCCATGGGCCTATCAGGGAAATTACCGAAACTGAAGTTGGCAAGGCAGTTATGCATTCATCTGACGGTAAAACACCCGGACCATCGTCCATAACGGCTGAAATGCTGAAAGCCTTGGACGCATCCAATTTCTCTGTCTTGACAAGCGTTCTACAAAGTGTCATTGACTCGGGGAAAATCCCGGATGAGTGGTGCACGAGTGATACCGTGACCATCTACAAAGGAAAAGGGGACCCCTTGCTATGTGGATCGTACAGGGGGATTCGCCTATTAGAGCACCCTATGAAGGTTTTTGAGCGTGTCATCGAATCACGCCTTCGCGGCATTGTATCGATAAATGACAGACAAAGAGGCTTTATGCCTAACCGAAGCGCAACCGATGCTATTCATCTGCTCCGTAGGTTGCAGGAAAAGTTCTTAGCAAAGAAACAAAAGCTTTATCATGTCTTTGTAGACTTAGAAAAAGCCTTCGATAAAGTACCAAGATATTTGATCGAGTGGTCTCTTAGGAGACAATACGTCCCTGAGAATCTAGTCAAAACGGTCATGTCGTTATACAGAAACTCGGTCTCCTGTATGAGGCGAGGAAATCAAAGGTCAAACCAATTCCAGGTCAACACTGGTGTGCACCAGGGCTCTGTCTTGAGTCCACTGCTCTTCATTCTGATAATTGAAGAACTCACCAAGGAATGTGGTGACGGAATTCCATGGGAAATTCTGTTTGCAGACGACTTGGTGCTGACAAGTGAGACCTTCGAGGGCGTGTTGCAAAAGTTTGCAAAGTGGAGAACAATTTTTGAATCAAATGGCATGAAAGTTAACATGGACAAAACGAAGTTAATGGTTACCGGGGAAGAGGGAAAGACCATAAAGTCGGGTGATTACCCTTGTGGGGTTTGCAGCAAAGGGGTCGGTAGTAATTCTATGATGTGTACTTCATGCAGGCTATGGGTACACAGAAGGTGCAGTGGCTTGCGGGCAAGCCAACGCCTCTCTGAAACCTTTGTTTGCAAAGTTTGCCAGAATCCCAAATCCAAGGCAACAGATAGTAAAATCACACTTGCAGATGGTGAAATTGAAAAGGTGGGTCAGTTCAAATATCTGGGGGACATGCTTCATCCGGATGGGAAGGTGGAAACTGCTGTGCGAGCCCGCATAAATTCCTTCTGGTTGAAGTTTAGAGAACTATCCAGACTCTTATTGGATAAGAATCTTCCACTTGTTCCGCGGGTTTTGATCTACAAGAGCTGTCTGCGTCCAGTGTTGTTATATGGAGCTGAAACTTGGTCAATGACAGACTCAAATTTTAAAATATTGAGATCAACGGAACTTAAAGTACTGCGATGGGTAATTGGTACTGACCTACATATGATCGCTTCTCGTTCTATTTATGAGCGTTGCGGTATTGACCATCTAGACATTTATTTGAGGAGGTCCCGTCTTCGGTGGTTCGGGCACACTCAGAGGAGCGTGCTCCTTGCAAATGCGCTAACAAACGTTTGTGTCCCCGGACCCAGATCAAAGGGTAGGCCGAAGAAGACATGGGACAAAACAATAGAGGAAGACCTATCCTTGCTGGGACTGAAAAAGGAGGAAGCCATGGACAGGGATTTGTGGAAGGCATTGTTGTCTAACCCCGTGTAGCACGGGAAAAAGACACAAAACGTTGATGATGATGATGATGATAGGCCCAAGATGATTAAAGTGAGCATCAGAGAAAAGAAGGAAAGATTCAACCGTACAAAACAAGAGAAAATAGACTGGCGGAAGCTACGCATCAAGAAACATCATGATGCGTATCAGGAACACATAAGCAAGGCCTCCCTTTCAAACAAACCCTCTTGGGCAGAATTAGCAGAAACCATGAAAAGGGCAGCCAAGGCTGCTTGTGGGTTAGAAGATACAAGAAGCAAAACCAGTCAATGGATGGTAGGCCATGAAGACCGAGCAAGGTAGTTCAAAAGCGGAATTCAAAGGGCAGTCAAAAAATGGAACGAGGCAACAAACGAGGCGCAAAGGCACAATGCAAGGGAAGAGCTTAAAACAGTCCGAAAAGAGTATAAACGGAGACTCAGAGAGTGGGAAACAGAATGGTGGGAAGCTCTTAGTCAAATGCGAGGAAGCTATGCGTAGGCAAGACATCGGGGAGATGTACAGCATCCTCCAGCAGCTAGGACTTAGAGATTACGCAGTACCTAATTCTAAAGCAACAGTAATCCCAGCGGAAACTTTTAAGAAACACTTCCAGAAAGTGCAAGAAAAACGCGAATAAAATGGACTGACAGAGAAGATCAAGTCGAGGAGGATCATACGAGAGTTCGCTCAAACGACACCAGAGGGACGTCAAATGGCCAAGGAGTGCAGTACAATGCCTTCAGAAGAAGAAATTATGGAAGAGTGGGCGAAGGTTAAGGAAAAAGCACCGGGCGAGGACGACATCCGAATGATCTACCTTAAGTCAGCTCCAATAGAGTTCCAAAAGAGAATAGTAAAAGTGATACAAACCATGTTCACTACATCAGCGGAATATTGGGATGATATAGTCAAAGTGGGTCTCATTATTCCACTGCACAAGAAAGGAGCGAAGGACAACCCCGATAATTTCCGCGGTGTTTGCCTGTTATCCATGGTGAGCCGAATTCTCGCTAGAATTTTAACAACACGACTCCGGGATTGGGGCGAGGAATTTGGCGCCCTTGATGATAATCAAGATGGTTTTAGAGAACACAGATCTACGGCCGACACCACCCAAATAATGGTAAGACTACAGGAAGATAACCGAAGGATATGCGAATCACAAAGTCTGAATAGAGACCGAGCGTGCCTATTAGATCTGAGAAAAGCTTATCCAAGAATCAATCGACCACTATTGTGGAAAATACTGGAAAGTTATGGGTTCGAAGATAATTTCCTAGGACGATTAAAGGACCTACACGAAGTAACTTCTTACAAAGTGAAAGGTAATAAGGAAGTTAGCTCTGAATGGACACCTCAAAGAGGATTGAGGGAGGGATGTCCTTCTTCCCCAATGCTTTTCAACATATTTCATCAGATCACAATAAGAGCAGCAGAAAAACAAAGGGAAGACAATGGAATAAGAATCACTTACGTACCTGGAAACACCTGCATGACACAAAGGAGAGACAAACAAAATGCTGAAGCGAAGCACATAGACCTCAAATACGCCTTGTTCGCTGATGACACTATTATCTTGAGTAATAAGGAAAGTATGGATGTCGCAAGAGACACCACCAAAAGAGTAATGGGCCTCTTCGAAGAAAAGACAAACGAAACTAAAGAGGAAAACATAACTCTTGGTGAAACCAGTGCGGCAGGAACCAGATTCCTGGGCCTTTGGCTGGGAGAAGCTGAAGACACAAGAGTACGATTACAACGCGGGATGGGAGCTTGGACAAAGGTCAAAAGACGCCTCAAAAACTCAAGGTTAACTAAAAGAACGCAAGCGCGTGTAGTTGAGGCAGTAGTAGAAAGCACCATGTTGTACAATTGCCAAGTACGGACCTGGAATGTGTCAGAAATAAACAGAATCCAAAGGAAAGTAGACCAATGTTACCGTTATGTTTGGAGTTCAAAAACCCAACCACCGCTGAAGGAAATGGAACAAAAACACAAAAACAGATGGAATGTAAGGAAATAACTCAGAATAAAATCAGTCAGAAGTAAAATCGAAAAACCTTGAACGCCTAAGACATATGATACGTATGCCCGACGACAGAAGAGCGAAGCACGTAACTTTTGGTTGGTTAAGCAAGTTAGAAGAAACTGAAAAACCGAGAGCGAAGTACCGTTGTACTCCCAGACAATGGATCAAATTGATGTGCGAAGCAGGAATTGACCAACTAGATATCGAAGAGATGGCAAAATACAGAAAGCAATGGAAAACGATTAAAAAGAACAGAATGACACATCTGGAAAGATGGGAGGAATCCCAAGAGAATGGATGGGAAGGAGGCATGATAGAACGCTCACAAAGAAAGGAAAGCGTCAATCTCGGGTGTAGCCAATGCGAGAAAGTCTGCAAATCTAGAGCTGGTCGGGCAGTGCATATAAGAAGAATGCACAGAGAGAACAACGCAGAACATAAGTGCATCAAATGCCACGCCAAATTCCCAACGAAAACAAACCTGAAGAATCACGAGAAGAAATGTCGAGGAACAACAAGCCCTACCAAGTACGTCCCGGCAACAAAGGAATGTCCACTGTGCAATAAATTGTTCTCAGCAACCAACCTAGCGAGACATATGACCAGGAGCTGTAGAAAGCGACATGGGGACCCTAACAGGGTGAATACCCGAGAGAGAGAGAGAGAGAGAGAGAGAGAGAGAGAGAGAGAAGAGAGAGAGAGAGAGAGAGAGAGAGAGAGAGAGAATAAGCCTCCTATTTCTAAGATTGCATAGGAGTATAAGACGTCAAAATTACATGGGCAGGTAAAAAAAGAATTAATTTCTCCTGGCATTGTAACAAATTCAACGAAATTTAAATGACAAGCATATAATTTAGCGCAGGAGAGGATAGCCAAAAGGCATATGAATGCCCACTGATAGGCTACCCTTAAAGAAAAATAAAGTGAACTTTAATATCAAAACATCATAAATTTTTAAACAAAAATAAATTCTTTAGTGGATTTATCGAACATAAACAATTCTTTAAAGAAGTTGCAGCTGCTGATACTGACATGTTATATGTATGTTTGAGAACTAGATACTAACGGAAAACACACAGGAAAATACATACCAAGAAAAACCGAAAAGCAAAAAAAGAAGCAGAAAAATTTTTTTTTCTATTTCCTTTTAACATTTTGGAACCAGCATAATAATAACAAAGTAAAACTGAAAAATAAATTTTCAGAAAGTTGCGATTTCTCGAAAACGAGAAGGTTTGAGAAAGTCAAATTTTTAGCAGGAAATGACCTCCCTATTTTGCCAGTTGCACAGCACTCAATCGCGTTTAACCAATACGAAACTTAAGCAACTTCGAAGACAATTAGAGCGAGTTCAAGGTTCAGGCAAAATCGATTTTTGTTCCCAAAATGCGTTTGTCTCGTAAACCAGAGAGTTAACGATGGTGAAATTTCAAACAGAACTTAAAAACCCAGCTTTTTGATCTTGACATCAATCATTCTTTGTTTCAAAAATAAAGGAAGAGAGGTCTGAATTTCCTAAAATATGAGTAACTTTAAGTTTATGAAGAAAACAACAAATTTCATTTGAACTCAATTCTTCAAAAATTTAGGGCAATGTTCGTTTTGGTACAATATATTAAGGAGCTTGGCACAGAATTTTTTTCGCCCAGAGATCGGTTTTTTGAAATATGGGAGATGACCTCCTTGTATTCTAAGCAAATTCATTTCTCTTGAAAAGTCAGTTCAAAAAATGCTTAGCATGAAGGTTGTTGAGGGAGCGCATGCAAAATTTGAGAAGTTCATATACAAAAGGCTCATGGCCAGTAAGAATTTTATGTTGATTAAATTCATCCGAAACGCTATCAAACTTCCATTTGAAATATATCAATTTGATAAGCTTCTTCTGAAACGATCGAATTTAGGTTTAAAAAGCAATACAGCCATATACCAACAGTCTGCCATAATGAATAACTGGTTTAAAGTTTGAATTATAATATATTATTTTGACCGGTTTAGGTACACAATATCTCATCTTTGAGACAACTCCACAATGCCTACCTAACTTTGTTTTAATTAAAGCAATTTGATTTGAAAAAGATAACTTATTATCCACCAAAATACCTAGATACTTAGAAAAAGCCTTAGAATAATACATAATATCATCTATAGCAACACGAAAAATGGAAGTCTGTGCATTATTCTTAAAACTTATCAGAGTGGTTTTATCAGTATTTTAAGTTAGTTTATTATAAGTCAGCCAAGTATGAATGTTTTCAAGGTCTGACTGGTAGTAACAATAAAAGGTGACAGTTTCACATTGAATTCGTCAAAATACCTCACTACTGAAAGTTCAATTGCGAAATATGAAACAGTTGTAAGTTGCTTAGTATGCCTGTGCGGTCGTCGTGAGGAGAAACTGAGCCAATCATTTTTGCCGAAAGTAAAGAAATCAAGCACAAAACGGACTATTTTGCCTAATTTGCCTAAGAACTTACTGCGAAGTTCTCCATGGCTTTTTTTATGTGCGAGGAATTTGGTGCGATTCTTGGTTCCCTAATTTTATCTCGATGAGTTTTATGTATAACAAAGTTGATGCTATTCGGAAAATTTTGTAATGGATAAGTTTTCTTTTTTCGAGGTTTCATTTGTCGAATTTTTCTTAAATTGTCTTGATTGAGTCGAATCATATCGTAAATTTGTGGAAATAGTCAGAAGCAGGGGCGGATCTAGGATTTTCTCGAGGGGGGGGGGGCGGATTTTCAAAAAACTTTCGGCGGATTTGATTTTGAGAGCACTCCCAAAGCACTACAAAGAGCCTGTTTTCGCCAAAATTTATGCGCCGCAGGCAAAGTGTTGAAAAACACAGGCCGAAAAGGGCGTTTTTTGGAATTTTTTGGAAAATGTTGACCAAAAAATTGCGTTTTTTCGGCGCGATCTCCCCCCTCACAATTAGTATATATTGGCGCTTTTAGAAAAATTTTAGGGTCCGTCACCAAAAATGGATATCTCAAAATAGTACAAAGGGGGGACCCTTTGGGTCGGCAGGGGGATCGAATCCCTGAGCGGGGGCGTCCCCCCTAAATCCGCCCCTGGTCAGAAGGACCCACTTCGAGATATATTCTTCAAGTTTCGAAGTAAAATGAAGATAGCAAGAACCATATTTGAAGGCTTTATAAGTTTCTTTAGGGAGTTTTTGGGTTAGCTTAATTTTTCTGTTTGTGTCCCAATCTCAACAAGTCATGTTGGTGAAAACATGTGAAATTTTTCCATACCGAAGGTTTCCATATTCAACTGTCTGTCATATTTGTCTGAGTTATTCTGAGCTGTTTATCTGAGCTATTTGTCGAAGGCTTTCTTCGCCTCTGTGTAGTAATATTATGTTGGCGGCAAATTAAAAAATATATATACTTCTCCAGTTTATCTATGGAAAGCTTGTATTCATCACGCAATTCATTTATCGTTAAACTTAAAATTAGTCATGTTTTCAGAAATGTTGAGAGCTGGTTCTCTCTTAGCCCCCCAACCACGAGTCGCATGTTGCAGAGTGGGAACCTCATCATCAGCTCGGCAACTCCGACCACTCTCGACTATGTCCGCGACAGAATTGTCGGGTGAATCCGAGGAGTTGTTTCCGGCCATTGATGAGTCTTCACAACCAACAACTACAAGAGGACGCATTGGACTAACATCCAGTAACTTCGGCAGTATCAATTTCTTAGAGAGAAAAAACAAAGCACAAGTTAAGCGCGATATAGCGCTGGCTTTGGCTACCCCCGATAAACCGTTTTTGGCCAGAGATGCTATTAAAGCATGCGGTGGTCGATGGTTCGATACTAACAAAGCGTACAAAAGCAATGTTCTGTCTCGATTCATGCAAACTTATCTCACAAAATCTCAATTAACGCCCACTCTGGGAAATGCAATGTTGGTGAGCTACGCTGAAAACAGCAAAGATTTTGATTCTAAGAGTCTTCTGAAGTCTTACTTGGACGCGAAAATCCAGCCCAATGCGAGAACATATTCTGCGATTATGAGAATGGAAATAGCTAGAGGTAACTACCAGTCCGCCATTGACGTATTCAATTTCTGCAAGGAGCAGTCTTTGGAAATATCAGATAGCGGGCTGCTGGCCTTGATATCGGGAAGTGTAGCTAACAAAAATTGGGAAATTCTAGCTGAAGCACAAGCAAGGTTAAATGATACTGAGGATACTACATTTTTGAAGCAGCTGGCGTTGGCTCTTGGATATAGCAAAGATGGAGATTTAAAAGGAATCGAAGACTCCTTGTTGTCAATGAGTCTGAATGACAGTTCTGCGTTAGACGAGAAAGTTGCAATGATTCAAGCTTGCTGTTTAGTTTATGCTAGTCTTGTAGAAAGCAACGCCACTGATGCTGTAACATCTAAATTTTTGGACCAATTTGCAGCTCTTAGACTTGAGTCTATTCCTGTGTATGACGGAAACTTAGGCCTGACAAGCGCCTATCTTTATGCCAATGGGTTTGGAGATGCTAGTTTTAAACTGAAAAGGGCGATTCCTGAAAATTCAGCGCTTCCGTCTGGAGTGCGATTTTCAGATTATAACCTGATGGGTGCGATGGTGGCAAATAGTAAGGAACCTGCGGATGTCACGATTAAAAATGTATCTGAGTCGAATATATTTGAGAAACCGATTGAAAACTGGCTCAAAACTGACGTAATATATGGGCATAAACTTGAAGACGTAACGGGTGTCATGAAGTTGTACTTGCAGAAACCGGAAATAGGGGAAATCAGACCTCAATTCTTCTTTCCTTTCTTGGTCAACACAAGCCAGGCTAAACCGCCTGAAGATGAAATGATAAAAGGTTTCAACGTGGCTTTACAAAATGAATCCGAAGAAATAGCTTTGCACTCGCTGGAAGCGTTTCACCAGATATTAATAACAAATGCTGACCTTTTGAACTTGATTCTTAAAAATAAGTCGTGTGAGGCGTTTCCTAGATCCCAAGTTGCAATTATCAGAGCTCTATTACATCAAGGCCGCTTTTTCGAGGCTTCTCATCTTACTGAAGGTATCTCTTTCGATGAAAGTTTGTCGAAGTATCTATTAGACAAAGCTGTGCCTATGCTTATGCAGATCGATTTTTCGAGTGTAGATTTGAGTAAAGTTCTTATCAAGTGTTTAAAGTCCATTTCCAACAAAGAAACGTGTTCAAGCTATATTAGGAAGATATTCAACTACTTGACAAGCGCAACAGCTACAGGTAGGAATTCGTACCAGCAATCAGTTGTAGCGAAACACCTGGCCAAAAATGATTGCTTATTCGATTATATTCCCTCTGATTTCTCTATGCCTGTTATCACTAGTGAACAAGTGTTCGCTAAATTGATCAACGACATCTTCAACGTTATGCTGAGGCCACATGCAATGCTAAATCCCAACCAATTTAGTTCTAATTTAGTCCAACTATCCAGCCAAGAATTGGAAGAGCTACTGGCTAAAATGGACTCAAGTGAGTGTAAAATTGAGCTGGAAGCAGAGAAAGAAGCCAAGAAGATGATTTTGAATGCTACATTGGGTCGATTCGAGGAGTTCGACGCTCTCATGTCGAAAGAAGACGAAGCGATTCGAAACGTCTTCGCCAAATACTCTGTTGTAAACCTTATGATGGACACGTTACTTAGAGCGGAGTCCTTTCCACGGGCGTATGCGATGGCGAAGAAGCTCAATTACTTGAATGTTTTCCAAGTTACCTCAAATGTTTTCCAAGGTATGAAAACTGAAGATGACGTTGAGCTACTCTTAAGTGAACCCTTAGACGGATATTTTGTAGACCCTACGAGTCTTGGTCTTGCGATTGGCCGTGTCAGAGAGATTTTACCCCCAGAAAAAATGAAAAATGCTCTGGAACGACTTTTAGATACGAAGTTTAAGTACCATGCTTCAGCCGGCTTGATGGAAGTGTACCTTGATGATTTACTCCAAGGAAAAATGAATTTTGAAGACCTGAAAGAGTTCTACTTGAAAGCTTCGGACAATGGTACTGCAGATAATATGAAAATTTACATGGTCGCTGCATGTCTGAACCACCCAGATAACGAATCTTCAAAAGCAATGCTGAAAGATCTGTTAAAGACAGACGGAACCACAAATGATGCCGAACTTTTGGCAGGGGAAATCCTGCTTGGCTACATGATGATTGGCCAGCAAGAAAAGGCTCTTGAAATGTCAGCCAACAAGGCTGTTCGATTCTCAAGAGCTAGCTTGGCGAAACTGCTGCGCAAAAAGGATGCAAATGTTTACAAATCATTGTTCGGAATTGAAGGTCGTGTAATAGTTCCGGAATCGGCTATCACCAAGGATGCCAAATTGCCAAGTCTTGTGGGAACGGCCATGTGTAATCTATTGCACAGATTGTTCTCAAATGGATCAGAACAGGAGCGCCAGTTTGTAAAGGAGGTTGTGCAGAAAGTGGTGGCTGACAAAACAAGGATGCAAGGCTTGGCATTTCAGCGTTTGGAGCGTCTCGCCAGAACAGTTGGCATTGAGGTTCCTGACGACTTCCGCAACAGGTTGTTGTTTCTTTCTATTTGCACTTTTTAGAGCAACTGTCTTGTAATCGGGACCTAGATTTTTTCCCGTAAACAACTAGGAATTTATTGTTCCGACCATTTGAAAAATGGGGTGGAATTTTGTATTCGGTTGTTTTAGTTTTTTCTATTTTTTTCTTTGTTTTGTTTTCCACGCAAAATCAGCTACCAAAAGTAATCATCAGAGAGAGTTGAGCGATGTATCATTTTAAAGACCTTTTAGTCTTGATTCGAACGACTTTAAAAAATTGCAAAAAAGTTTTCGAGGAAAACCGGTTTGAATTTGAAATTTTGATTTTTTGTCTAATTTCTAGTGAGCGAGCAGGCTTACAATAATTTATTTTAATAGCTTAAAAGCCAACAATTGCTTGATCCGAGCTGTAAAAACTTAATTTGTTTTCGACTATAGTTAGTTTTTTTTTCGTATTTCATCTTATTGCCTTTTTGGAAACAAAAACGTCAAAAATTCAAAAAAAAAATTGAAAAAATTGTTTTTAAAATTTTTTGTTTGTCTAGTTAATTTTGTACAAAAACTGATTTCCAATTTGCTTATTTTACTTTGAATGTCGAATCTGTCTAAGCTCTAGTTTTTCGTTTAGATCATCTTATCACACCACGCAGAAAAAACTACTATTATTTGAAAAAAAATCTTGTTGTTTTTTAATGCTATGGTCAAAAGATGCTATGCTACTAGCACAGTAACAGGCTATCCTTTTCTCTTATTGTTAATGGTAAATATGCAAATGAAAATTAGAACTTGAAGCACCAGAAACAGTGAGAGGACAGCTAACGAACTGAATTCAGGTTACAAAGCACTGCCCGTTTTTATCAATGAAATACGAATTGGAGATTTTCAAAGAAAGTGAAAACTATGTGCGAAAACATTAAAGATTACTTTGGAAAAATGATTGAGTTTCAATTAAAATAAGCCCGGTTAATGACATGTGTCCGAACTCTGTATCCTTTTAAATATAATTGTTCTATCTGAGACGGTGTAAAAGCAAATTAAACAATGATATCAGGTTACTGTAAGTAGCTCAGATTGTTCCGACCATTATCTTAAAAAATACAATAAAAAATTAGTTTTAAAAAAACTAAAATAAAGTGTCGTGTTTTTTCTGCGTCGTGTGATAAAAGGAGCTGAACAAAAAACTAGAGATTAGGCGTATTTGACAGTCGCAGTAAAACAAGCAAATTCGTAAACAATTTTTGTAGAAGAATGGCAAGAAAAACGAAAAAAAAAAAAACATTTGAAGTTTTCGGTTGCATAAAGGTGCTAAAAAAACTCTGGGAGCTAATGTTTTGCAATTAAAACTAAGTTTTAATTTAAACTATTGTAAGCCTGCTCGCTCGCTTTATTCGCTTGAATTAAAACGAAAAACGAAAATTCCAAACCTGTTTTTCTCGAGACTGGGAGACATTTTTTAATGTCGTTCGATTCATATATTAAAGGGCTTTAAAATGATGTATCACCAACTCTCTCTGATGATTATTTATGGTAGCTGTCTCTGCGTAGAAAACAGGAAAAAAATTAAAAGACACCCAAATACAAAATTCCTCCTCATTTTTCAATTGATCGCAAAAATAAACAGAAAATAAAACCCATTCGCCAAAATTTCTATAACTCGCTAGTCGTAGGCACCCTTATTCGGTTTTAAAATCAAAACTGGGCCACTTTACGGTTACTGCTTCCAACTGTTTCTCATCCTTTGAAGCCTCTCTAACATCAGCAGAACTGATTCGGAGCTAAACGGTCGGCAGACACCAAATTGAGCCGATGCAGCAGTAAACTCCGAACCAGACCGTGTGGTTTGCAAAACACCGAAGACTCTTGGAAAGCCATATACAGCTAATTAAACGATTTAAAACATACAGGCGCTTCACATCCTTTCAATTTCAGGCGCTTTCCGTGTATATAGTTACAATATAACAAAAAATATATATTAAGCTCCTGGCTTAACATACAAATTACGAGTTTCGTGGGTAATGCGTTTAATATCAATTAGAGTTTTGGTCGAGTACTTTTGGACCTAGGGAATTTTGTGTGAGCAAATTAAAGAACTTATTTCCTCTGTGACTAAGTGTTGCTTTTCGAATTTTGATTTTGTAATTGGGACTTTTTATCAAATTCAAAGTTGATGTTCTGGTCATTTACGACGTCGCATCAAATATAAATAGCCCTACCAAAAATTTTTCGATATTTTGCTTTTTGCAGTCAATTATATCTATATCTATCTATCTGTCTATCTATCTATCTATCTATCTACTCTTTGCAGTCGATTATGTCTTTATCTATCTATCTATATATCTATATATCTATCTATGTATATCTATCTATCTATCTATCTATCTATCTATCTATCTATCTATCTATCTATATCTATCTATCTATCTATCTATCTATCTATCTTTCTATCTATCTATCTGGTGAATATGCCGTTGAAGTTTTTCTAGATGCATTATTTTTGAAAATAGTTCTGTTATGGTCGAATCATCGAATTGTCTTAGTTGTTAAGTTCTGTGTGCGTGGTTGGAGTTCTGTCAAACTAAAAACAACCAAACAAAAATAAAAAAATAAAATAAAATCAATTGCAGATAATTTTTTGATTAGTTTTTGCGTTCGAAGCGCTTAATTAAGTGAAGCTTTCGAGGCTTCCTGAGCCACTGTGGCATTTTTCACCAACTTTGGACATATCCTAGCTCTGCAAAAATCTCTCTGTATCGATGCTAGTTTTTTGTAACTGGGGATCGCTGGTGAATTGATTACGTCTCAGCCTCTCAACGAAAGGTCGGATGTTCGAGGCCCGTCATGATCAGTGCTAGTTACTTGAGGGTGAGGCAACATTACCCAGCCCAGAGAAATAGCTAAAAAACTGCATGTATATTTTAACCAGGGGCACAGCAGCGGCTCTCCGTGAAGAGCTGATATTGGCCCTTTCCTTTGTAGATAAATCTTCTTAGCTGTTTTTAGAAAAAAAGTATTAAAATAAAACATTTTGGCGAGTAAAATGTGCATTTATTTATGTCCACAAATGCATCTGAGAAATAGATATTTTTAGTGTATACCTTTAATTTTGCTGCAGGTATTCCATGCTGGCTAACGTGACCTTGATGACACATGTGAATAGAGGAGACTTGGACGCTGCAACTAAGTTGATGACGAAGATGGAAGGAAATATCATAAGCTCGGCATTTGTTATTGAGTCGTTGATACAACTGGCAACTACAATGGACGAGTCTGTTCTGGCAAAGAAGCCTTTTTTGCAGTTCCTGGCCAAAAATGCTGACAAAATGAGCGTTGGAAAGCTTGTCAGTAATCTTTTGAGGGCTAACAATTGGAGTTATAACCAAATGGATCAAATTCTTAAGGCGCTTTCGGTTGCGGAAGATAATCGGGTGCACAACAAGTACCTCAGTGCCTGCTTTTCAAGCTACAGAGCCCCGATTTACGCGCCAAGAGCTCTCGTCACTTTTCTGACGTCGGACGTGACTGATAAAACCATGGCTGAGAAGGTGATCAGGAATGCTTTTAACAGGACAGACGCGCCTTCTATGGTCAGTATTATGATTCAGTGTGCACGTCTTCAACCCGCGAGACTGAACACAAGCGAAGCTGTTCGTGACTCTGCTGTTGCTTTGATTGCTAAGGAAATGACGAAAAAATGTTCGGTAGACGAAATGAACTCGATCGTGAATGAGATCTCAAAGCGATTCGTGGTCGAGTCCGAAGTTATGGAAATAGTAAAGAAAAGTATGAGTAAATCTGAATGATTGATCCCTTTATTGCCTCGAACTTTATACGAATATATTTTTGACCAATTATAATTCTTCGTAACATTGTTTAATCTTTTACCTCGTTGGGAGGTGGTTGCGCGGTAAATCCCGGCGTTTTTCAGATAACAGCTCGCTGGTGTAGCGTGTTGTATTTATTAAGTCATTACATTCAATAGTCGCTCTCATGAAGAAAAACACTACAATTTTTTTTTCTATATATGGCCTAGAAAGTGCTTTGAATTGTCAAAAAACATAAACAAAACGTTTAAAACTGTTCTAAATAAGGTATAATATCAAAATTTTAACAAGACGTTCAATGCTCTCAAACAGGGCAAGTTTTGACACTTTTTTGTGTCAACCAGTTTCGGAGATTGATAAAAACTAATATATTGGGAAAAAACCTTCGTTCCACGCCACCAGAGCTAACTCGGAAGCAGGGCCCTACGTTTTTCAAGATCAGCAAAATCGATTTTTATAATCGAATCCTGTTGTTCAACAGATTTGACCAACCGTCATTTGACAGTGAAATTTATACTACTCAAAATTTTTTTCGATTTGATTTCGAATGCACAATATCCAATATCTCGCTACTAGGATTATTCGTACAAATGAGATATATCCTGGATGAAGAATTAAAACCATTGACTTGAACCCGGTGACTCAACTGATCTGAATGATGTTTTTATCGAAGAGCATAAAAATTTTCCCATCGGATACCTTTGATTGTACTGGTGTATTTGACACTTCATATATAGTAGGTTTCGATTGTTTGACGCCTGGTGCAATCGGTAGACTTGAATAGTAAAGTTTCTTCAAGCGCTCACAAACGAAGCTGACTTGTTGCAAGGCCTGTATTGGGCTTAGTTTCCATGAAATCTGACGAAATGCACCCAGGTCGGGTTAAATATTCATCGAAATTCGAGCACATTACCATGCTTTCATAAAAATTGCACAAACACCGAAACACAAGCTGAAACTTGCTCAGATGAACTATGAGCACAGCACACCAGGCAGTAGTGACTAATTAACAGAGAATCCCTAGGGTTCTCTGATGCTGAATGTTTCGTGTTCGGAGAACCCTGGAGATTTCCTTTTCTATTGTTCGAAGCGCTGTTTTATTATTATACTTCTGCGATTAGCAAGCGTTATTAAGAGTCGGTGAACGTAGTTCAGACTCTTATATAGGTCGTGATATTTTTTTCGTTTATTTTTTTTCAGGAAAGTCTTAAAATTTGTACACGCTCAAAATTACTGTTTCGATGAACGTAGTTCAGACTCTTATATAGGTCGCGATGATTTTTTTCAGAAGATATTTTTTTGCGGTTTGACGTTTGATTTTTTTAATTTTCATTTTCTTTGTTACAAGAAAGGCAAAATCCACTATCAAACAACAAAAGTGTAAAAGGACCCAAAAAACGTGGTCGACTTTTAGTTTAATTATTTTGACATAATTAATTCAATTATCGAATTTCCCAGCGAATTGAAAGTTTTACCCAACGATCCAGATTTCTCAAGTTCGTTTAATTTTATCAAAAAAAGTCAGAAATAAGCTGCTATAGAAATTCAAAGAGCTTTAAAGCCATCTGTTTTTTTTCTGTTTTTTTTTGCGTCCATTGACTCTTTTCCAACTGCCTGTTGGCTATGTTCAAAAATTGGGCTACTTTGATCAAAAAAAGTAACTATCTTAATTTGTTGTTGAATTTCAAAGAGCTCTAAGGCCATCTATTTTTTCTTCGAAATTCGCAAGTTATCTTTTGACTCTTTCCAACTGTCTTTTGGCGAGGTCCAAATCGGTATATAGACTTTTTTGTAGTAACATTTTGTTTAACAAAATAAATTGAATCCGTGCTGCTAATATGCTCAATTTTCTGTAACCCTATATTTATTTGCAGTTTAATAATGTAGTTCAAATTGCCGCTGATTTGCTTCAACGCTCAAGTTTAACTAAATATATTTTCTCTGATATGACTTTTTTGCCGTTGGCTTGCAAGTGGTGCGAAGCTCAGTTTCGCCTATGTGTGAAATATAGATTGATCGTGCAAATCTTGTTACCCGAGCCAGGAATTATAAATGGCATATGGACTTTGAAGCAATTGATCTATCCACACAGCCATGTTTTCTAGTTTTTCCAGTAAATATAATTATGAAGTACTTTATGTATACACCACAAAAATACAATTTAATGGGAACCTGAAGGGAAAAATGAGGAGAAAAATTGAAAAAATTCAATCAATAAGAAGTATTCATCCCATCGTATTGAATCAAGCGTGGTGTAATTATAAAATTGGAATCTGCCTTTTTCGCCAGCAAAGTCGTTCATTTGGTGACTCTTATGCTGTGCTCACGATCTGTGGTTCATATGTGGAACTTGCATACGATTCCCAGCTTTATTTGTTGCTAGTGTTTGCCACTCGTGTTCTTGGAAATTTCTTGTTAACCGAGAGTGATTAGCCCCAATAGCATCAAATATGCGTCATCTTGTCCCATTTATCTGTTTTACCTAACGATCCAGATTTCTCAAGTTCGTTTAATTTTATCAAAAAAGTCAGAAATAAGCTGCTATAGATATTCAAAGAGCTTTAAAGCCATCTGGTTTTTTTTGCGTCCATTGACTCTTTTCCAACTGCCTGTTGGCTATGTTCACAATTTGGGCTACTTTGATCAAAAAAGAAACTATCATAATTTGTTGTTGAATTTCAAAGAGCTTTAAGGCCATCTATTTTTTTTCGAAATTCTCAAGTTATCTTTTGACTCTTTCCAACTGTCTTTCGGCTAGGTCCAAATCTGTATATAAACTTTTTTGTAGTTACTTTTTTTAAACAAAATTAATTGAATCTGTGCTGCTAATATGCTCAATTTTCTGTAACCCTATGTTTATTTGCAGTTTAATAATGTAGTTCAAATTGCCGCTGATATGCTTCAACGCTCAGGTTTAACTAAATATATTTTTCTCTGATATTATTTTTTTGCCGTTGGCTTGCAAGTGGTGCGAAGCTCAGTTTCGCCTATGTGCGAAATATAGATTGCTCGTGCAAATCTTGTTACCCGAGCCAGGATTTATATATGGCATATGGACTTTGAAGCAATTGATCCATCCACACAGCCATGTTTTCTAGTTTTCCCAGTAAATATAATTATGAAGTACTTTCTGTATACACCACAACAATACACTTTAATGGGAACCTGAAGGGAAAAATAAGGAGAAAAATTGAAAAAATTCAATCAATAAGAAGTATTCGTCCCATCGTATTGAATCAAGCGTGGTGTAATTATAAAATTGGAATCTGCCTTTTTTGCCAGCAAAGTCGTTCATTTAGTGACTCTAATGCTGTACTCACGATCTGTGGTTCATATGTGGAACTTGCATACGATTCCCAGCTTTATTCGTTGCTAGTGTTTGCCACTCGTGTTTTTGGAAATTTCTCGTTTACCGAGAGTGATTAGCCCCTATAGCATCAAATATGCGTCATCTTGTCCAATTTATCAGTTCCTGCTACTACCCCTAGTATTTCAAAGGTTTGTCACCTATTCGACAAAAAGAATTGTTAGAAACCACGCAAAGTTAAGGTTTAAGTTAGATTTTTTTGGTAAAGTATATATTTTTTGCCGCATATCTTGGGTTTCTACGTGGGTTAACCCGAGCTTTGTGAGCGCAATTTATAAAGATGAAAGGGTTTGAGCTTATCAACCTGAATTCTGGGCGCAGAGATAGATTGAAAACTGTCGGGTGAAACTTTTGACTGTTTTTAGAGTCGTTAAGTTCGAACGATCTCTGCCAAGAAGTTTTGTTGCTCAATTTGGATATAATTATATAGATATTTACTCTGGAGAATATGATAGTAAATCATTAAATTGACAACAATGAAACAAAAAGAGAATGATGAAGGCTGAGCTAAACCGAAATCAGGTTGAAGAAAATTTGAATTTTCATTTTGAAAACGGAACTCAGTATTTTTGAGAACAAATGGATTTTCCTTCAAAGCAAATGTACATTTTTTTGGTATATAATCTGCTACAAGCTATTGCGACAAACCGGATTTTTCATTTCATCAAAATGAAACCAATTTTATCAGTCAGCATACCTTATTCGGTGAATCAACTCAAGGTACCTCGAAAATATACATTTTCATTGATTCGTGTTTGGTGTCAATGGTTTTTGAAAGTGATGTGATTTTTTCTCATTGTAATTTGAACCAGGAGCTAATGATATCTCTGCAATTGATGGCTGACAAGTCTCTTGATTCAAAATGCTGTGAAAAATAAAAATTGTCTCAGTAGTTTTTCTGGAACGAACAAATTCTTCAAGAAATTTATTCAATGTTTTGCGACTGATCTGTCAAAAATGTGAAAATAGTGTGCATTAAGTCATTCCAATTTTACGTGATAGATATTTCCCGGTAGTTTCAATTTCACTAGCCTACTTCCAGAATTTTTGAGATGCTAGTTTTCAATTGCATGCTTCACTTCATCAAAAAATTTATTTCGTTTTGGCTTAACAATTCAGGTTTCATACCAAAAACAACTGCACACAAAAGTTTTAACGTCTTTTAGAAGATACATAGATTTTTCTTCATAGAGTTGACAAAAGCGTTTGATGCGGAAGATCACGAGCTTTTGTTGATGAATTGATTATTTTTTCTTGAAGTTATTGACAATATTTACATACGATTTTTGACATGTTAATAGCTGCCAGTTTAATTGTGCGAGGAGTCCATCATGCTTAGACCATCATTTTTACCTGACTTGCATAACATCATGAATCAGACAGTTCAAGTTGAACTTCATGAATGAGTCGGATTTTATATTATATCGGATTTGTTAATGTACTGTGCAGATCATCTGGTTGGTTTGAGCTATTATTACCAGAATTCAGCATTTTAAATTTTTTGTTCACAATTATGGCGGACGACGCTTTTCTAAGTGCACGTTGAAAAGCGTCGTTAAGACAAGGTAAGGTTTTCAAAGTGCACATGAAGGTAAGGTAATTTTTGTGGAGTTAACTTGTTGAATTGCCGTTTAATAATTTTCAACAGTTTTTTTAAAGGTTTAACATTCTTTTCTATTTG